AGTTGACGATGACAGAGTTTGATGATGACAGAGTTAACGATGACAGAGTTTGACGATGACAGAGTTTGACGGTAACAGAGTTTGACGATGACAGAGTTTGACGATGACAGAGTTGATGATTACAGAGTTGACGATGACAGAGTTTGACGATGACAGAGTTAACGATGACAGAGGTTGACGATGACAGAGTTTGACGATGACAGAGTTGATGATTACAGAGTTGACGATGACAGAGTTTGATGATGACAGAGTTGACGATGACAGAGTTTGACGATGACAGAGTTAACGATGACAGAGTTTGACGGTAACAGAGTTTGACGATGACAGAGTTTGACGGTAACAGAGTTTGATGATGACAGAGATGACATTTGAAGCATTTTGTGCTTTAGATCCAGATGCCACATGGCAGGAAAAAAAAGCATATTTAAACATTTTAAAACTGGGATATTGTAGGATATATTCAAGATACAAAAATGCATCCCAGCACAGCATCCCTGCAGAATTCCCACACAACAGTGGAAAAACATAAAAAAGGTGTATATTTACTCACTGACTAAATAAATGTGTTTTAAAAGATATTTCTTTCACACACACACATGCACACACTCTCACACACACACACACACACACACACACACACACACACACACACACACACACACACACACACACAAAAGACAGACACACATAGACAAAAGAAACACATGCGCCCAATCATACACACACACACATATGTACAGACATAGAGACAAACACACATAAATACACACATACACACACACAGAGACAGTCACAAAACACACACACAAAATTTTACCAATTCAAATCTGATCTGCTATTTGCAAACAAACTCAGCAATATAATAATGCTGGTGTGTCAGTGTGTTGTGTTGTTATGAAGCGTCTTCCTCATTATATCTGTCAGTGCGCACAGATCTGAGACCTGCAGAAATAACCTGAAACACACAGACGGAGCATTTAGTGAGTAAAAGCACACACGTGAGCGTCTGCTGGCTGAAATGAGAGCTGAATGTGGGGTCAAGGGCTCTGATTAGAGCAGCGGTCAGCACAGAAGCCATTACCCATTACTGCGGCTCTCCTGGGTCAGAGACTCTGAGATGAGCAGCGCTGCTTTACATGGCAGCTACAGCCGGGGTAATGAAGCGGCACTTGACCTGATTAGGGGACCCGCGGCCCTCAGACTGAGTGCTTCTGCTGCATACAAGAGCCAGATCACAACAGCTTTTACACAGCATCGCATCTAAACCAGCACCCACAATACTGTAGAGACAAATAGCAAGAACTGTAGCGTTTAGAGCCATAGCATTAAAGCACTTGAATGAATTCTACAGTTGCTATGGTAACACAACAACTATATTATTTGATCTGTTGTTGTAATTTTACAGTTGCTATGGTAACACAACAGCTGTAGTAATTGATCTGTTGTGGTGATTCTACAGTTGCTATGGTAACACAGCGATTATAGTATATGATCTTTTGTGGTGATTCTACAGTTGCTATGGTAACAAAATGATGATAGTATTTGGTCTCTCATGGTGATTTTACGGTTGCTATGGTAACAACAACTATAATAATAGATCTGCTCTGGTGATTCTACAGTTGCTATGGTAACACAACAGCTATAGTAATTGATCTGTTGTGGTGATGATTCTGCAGTTGCTATGGTAACACAACAACTATAGTAATTGATCTGCTGTGGTGATTCTACAGTTGCTATGGTAACACAACAGCTACAGTAATTAATCTGTTGTGGTGATTCTACAGTTGCTATGGTAACAACACAAACTATAGTAACTGATCTGTTGTGGTGATTCTACAGTTGCTATGGTAACACAACAGCTATAGTATTTGATCTGTTGTGGTTATTCTGCAGTTGCTATGGTAACACAACAGCTATAGTATTTGATCTGTTGTGGTGATTTTGCAGTTGCTATGGTAACAACAACTGTAGTAATTGATCTGTTGTGGCGATTCTACAGTTGCTATGGTAACAAAACAACTACAGTAATTAATCTGTTGTGGCGATTCTACAGTTGCTATGGTAACACAACAACTATAGCAATTGATCTGCGGTTTTTACAGTTTCTATAGTAACACAACAACAGTAGTAATTAATCTGTTGTAGTAGTTGGCAGTTCATTCCGCTGTGGTAACCCCTGATAAATCAGGGACTAAGCCGAAGGAAAATTGATGAATGAATTTACATTTTAATGTTTTACTTTGTTTAATTGTAAATTCGACATGTATTTATGTACAAATAACAAACACTGTTTATACACACATATGCTTATTTATTTAACAACACAATTAATTATCATTTTAATTTGCACATTATATAGCTCACAATGTTGTATTTACAGGCCAGCCTGGTGAAAAGGGTGGGGGTTTTATTGTCATAAAGTGGACCTTGCAGTTATTCGCCTCATTTTCCTGTTAATTATGAGGTTTAAACACTGCATTTCAATGACATTTTAAGCACTTTTTGTTTAAATAGCTGGTCGGACGGTCATCAGAACCAAACTTTTTAATGTATCAAAACATTTCCTTAAAGATGTATTACATGATTCATCAAGAAAAATATATACAATTTGTCAAAACTGCAGCTTATGTTCATTTATTAGGTACAAATCTTCAAATTTGGCCATTTCAACAAAAATAAAAAACAAGTAAACAAGCAACAATATTAATGTAGAGCTACACAATTTCTCTAGATTTTTCTCTTGTAAAAAGAAATGGAAAATTCATGGATAACAACAGCTCAAACAGAATTAAAATGAACTTGATATGGGCCTCCTTTGGTGCTTCACGCCTTTTTATTGGTCATATTCTGTCATGAATAAGGTCTGAGAATTATAGAATTGTAAAATTTGTAAAATGTTTTCTCTATGTGACGATATAGTCAGTCAGCAGTGAACGATGACTTCACTTTTGTCAGACTGTATGTTTTCTTGCACAGATGTGGGATGAAAATAAATAATAGTTTGCATTTTCTTTTCAGGCTCAGTCGCTTTATTAATGTGTCATCGCCACAGCGGAATGAACCACCAACTTATCCAGCATATTTTTTACGCAGAGGATGCCCTTCCAGCCGCAACACTCATACACTATGGTCAATTTTTTAGCATACCCAATTCACCTATACCACATGTCTTTAGACTGTGGGGGAAACCAGAGCTCCCGCGAACATGGGGAGAACATGCGAACTCCACACAGAAATGCCAACTGACGTGGCCAAGGCTCAAACTAGCAACCTTCTTGCTGTGAGGCAAACGTGCTACCCACTCCGCCACCGCGTCGCCTTCTTAGATAGGTGATTTTCATAATTTATGATGGCATAGCAGTCAAAATAGGACACATGAGCTGATGTATGAGGAGAGTGGGGTAAAGTGAGACACTTTTTACATTTGCTCCCCTGTAAGCCAGCTAAAATTAACACATTTCTCGTTAATTCAGAATGTTTTCTAGCAAGGGAATTCATCAGATTGTATTAAGGATAAAGAAAAGTGAAAATATGATTGTTTTAAAAAAGTTTTTTTGTCTCTAAAACTATGTCGTCTCTTGTGTAAACTGAGACAGATAAGAAAAATCAAAGGGTTAAAGTGAACCAGCCGGGGTAAACTGATCCACTTACTTTTTCCACATTAAAACTACCATAACAGCGCATGTTGTAAGAGTTTGAATCCAGACAGCTAGCTTGACAACCACACATTTCAGAACTAATGCCGGACTAGTCAATTATGGATTGGAGATTGGTCAACAAAGCACATGTTTTCTACACTTGAAAGTAACTCTGAACAAAATCAAATACAACAATCCAATTCAAACTATTGGAATCTGCATACTAATGACAGATAGACCCAGTTAGATTAGAACACAATCCGGTGGTCAGAACACAGGACCTTTAGAGCCAGCATAGTATGGCGGTCGAGAAAAGGGCAATCAGAACCAGATAGAACAGCTTGGGACGCACACATGACTAGACCCACCTGGATTAGAACATTAGTCTACTGTCATACTCTACCCTCGTCAACAACCTAATTTCACCCTCGTGCTTTTTGATTAACATCTATGTTGATCTTTG